GTAGAAGGCACTGTTACACACCCCGACCATTGGCGGATGCCGCCTCGGGGCGTGGCTGACCTTGACTGCGGCGACCGCTGGCCGACCCTGGGTCAGTCGCAGACATGAAGGTCGCCGGGCGGGTCTCGCGGCGAGAAGCTGTGCGCTCGCGCGCCATTGGATTACTGGAGGCAGGCGTGGCTCAGCGGGATGTCGCAGAACGGTTCGGAGTCAACCGGACTACTCTCTTTCGATGGTGGCGACGCCATTGCGAGGGTAAATCCCTGGCCGACATGGAGCGCTCCGGCCGACCAAGTACCATGTCCAAAGTCGCCAAGATCGTTTGCTCCAAAGCTGCAGGGAAAAGAGGACAGAGCGTGAGGAAATTAGCGATAAGGCTGACAAGAAAAGGTTATCCGATGTCCAAGTCAAGTGTACACCGGTTCATGACGCAAACAAAGCAATTTAGGTCATACAAGAGGCAAAAACAGCCAAAATTGAGCGAAAAACAGAAACTTGCAAGATTAGCGTTTTGTAAGAGAGTAGAAAAATGGAGTTTTGAAGAATTTAAGCATGTCATCTGGTCCGATGAGTCTGTATTCGAACTCCAGCAGAAGCCAAACCGGCAAAATGATCGAGTCTGGGCGAGGTCTGGCGATCAGGTGCCACGCGTGGAAACCGTCAAACAGCCCGCCAAGCTTATGGTATGGGGTGGAATGACCGCGCAGGGTCTTACTGAGCTCCACGTGGTGCCCCCAAAGCAGACGGTAAACACCGCGTACTACGTGACAGAAATCCTGGAGGGCTCACTTTTGCCAGCGGTCGAGCGTACAAGCAAAACTGGCGGCATTACAGAGAGGAAACTCATCGACCCAATGTCGCGGGCAATTTTTATGCAAGATGGTGCGCCAGCGCACAATGCCAAACGAAGCCAGGAATGGTGCGACGAGCATCTACCGGGGTTTTGGGCCAAAGGTGAATGGCCTGGAAACTCGCCAGACTTAAACCCAATCGAAAATCTGTGGGCGATTTTGAAGGAGAGCCTCAACCAGCAGGAGCCCTCCACAAGCCTCAGCCAGCTCGAGCGACGCCTGAAGAAGGCCTGGAGAGAAATCTCGACGGACACGCTGCGTAGCTTGGTCTTCAGCATGCCGTCACGCATCCAGAAGTGTGTCCGACGACGCGGTGATTATGTCGGCTGCTGAATACAAAAGTACATACAAAAGAACTTGTCTCAAACCAGACGACAGCGATGTTGCAAAACTTTTGGGACACCCTGTAATTGGCTCCCGAGTTGTGCGTTGGTGTAAAAAAAAATTGAAAGGCAATATCTTCCATTTAATGACCTCTGGTGACCTGACCTTTGACGTAGCCTATAAAACGAATGTCATATTTTCGTCGCCCTTATTTTGGACGGTCTTTCGAATGCCGTTTACTGCTTGTCACTACGTGAACCAAGATCCGAGTTAAAAGGGCGGGTGCTTGACCCCCCCCCCCTCCCGAGCAGGGCGTGGAAATCAAGGACCCTCAGCGGGGTGCGGGTTAGATATCTTTAGTTGACAACCAAATAAACCCGTTTGCCTTTGGACGACAACCACCGAAACACTTTTTTCAGCCCTGTCCGAGACTAAGAGCCCTTAATTTCTTCAAGTAATGGCGGAGATATCGCTCGCCGAGAACAGGCCATTTGACATGTATTGTAAACCCTATGGGCTGGTAGGAAATGTACGCCGTGGAGAAACAGTGCTACCAACCAGGGCTGCGGAGTCGATGGATTTACGGCGACTCCGACTCCGGCTTTCAAAAACCAACTCCGACTCCGACTCCAGGCAGAAATGTCGACTCCGATCGACTCCAACTCCCGACTCCGACTCCGCACACATGGCAGGGCTGCGGAGTAGACAGACTTTCGGTGACTCCGACTCCGACTCCGGTCACAACTGTCGACTCCGACCGACTCCGACTCCGACTCCGACTCCGCAGCCCTGCTACCAACTAGTGCCCTCAGTCGGGGCGGACTGTTCATGCCACGGCCGTGGTGGATGGCGGTGGTCTGCGAGTTCGACGATTATTTCAAGCGCATCATGGGCTCGTCGACGTCGTTCTGCGACCAGCCAGGACTTCTTCGCCGGCTCTCGCAGGTCATCAGTCAGCGCCATCCAGGGCTGGACCAGCGGATCGCGCGCCGGCTGGCTCGAGTGGATATGTTCATGCGCGTCGGAGAGCTTTACCAGCAGCTGAAGAGGCAGCGGGATGACCGAAGAGCCAACAGACAGGTCCGGCAGCATGTCACGAGCCAGCGGCTAGCCCGATTCGTGGCATGCGATGTCACCGCCGTCTGCCGGGACCAGTGGTCTCGGCCAGTGCCGGGAACCGCGGTGTCATCTACGTCAGCCAAGATCAGGGTATATAGAACAACGGGTACACCAACGACGCGGAAAGCGCCCATTTTACCTGGATGAGTTACATGGTAGGTGATATATTTTTTGAATATGGAAAAAATAGAGCATTCCATTCTGAAGAGTAAAACCAAATTCATAAAGCAGTTATTTTTAAATTATATGTACCAAAAATAACATACTAACCATAGTTTAAAACTTAGTCTAAAGTTAGTTGAAAAGCGTATAGTTGATACTAAGATGGAAGGAATTAATGGAAGGCAGAAATGGCGCAGCTGTTTCATTCTTTAAGTGTGTTCGCAAGCAGGATTTACGTGATGCTAGCGACATCTACGAATGTAATCAGGGATGCTGATTGGCTGATCGAGTCCGTGAGCAGTATCACTAATTTACGCTAGTACAGGGTTGAGGCAATGTGCGCATGTGCAGGAACTTGTGCTCTCATGGAGGGGCTTTTGGTACCTCGGGCAGCGCCCAATGCTTTTTGGACCTGTTATGGCCTCCGCATCGAAAAACGCTAGTTAGAAAGGTTGTAAAGGAAGCTTGAGGCTACCTTTCCCCACAATAATATTGGCACTTTATCTTTTAGCTTACGCGTGGGGCCCGCTTGAAAAAGGTCGATTTAACATGGGAACCCTATGGGGTAGTAGTTTTTGAGCGCCCATTTGGCCTAATGCTACCAACTGTTACTGGCTACCCCTGGCCAAGATGATCCTTCATCGCCGTCAATCAACACCCCCGTTCATCGCCGCCGCCTTGTTTTGTATTGTATTGTATTGTATTACCGTTATGAACAATCCACGCGGGCAGTGTTCTAAAATTGGATTTCGGTTGGGTGTGCCGATGAAGAAAAAAATCCTAGGATGAGAAAAAAGGAAATAAATAACCGAAGTATATTTGCAAAATGGTGTAATGCCTATTTGTATGCCAACTAATAAAGCAGGATTTCATGTCAGAATCTTGACAGGGTGTGAAACAAAAGGATGTGGATGTGTCAACTGTCAAGTGACATGTAAACTGGCTGTTGGGAATACATGAAACTTTTTTCAGAGATGAAGTAAAGTCGGTCATTCATATTTTAGGGAGGAAAGTATTTTCCCCATTAGGTGTGAGTTGCCACCAAAAAGTCTGAAAAATGGAGCACTGCACACGGGGCGTGGCGATTACAGTCCAGAGTCCGTTCATCGCCGCCGTCCGCCGGGGCCAGCCAGCTCCAGATTGATCCCTGCCTGTCGCCGCCGTTTCGGGGGACATGCCAAGGCCATCTATAGAGGACATGCGGTATCACCGCCGCTGTCAGCCAGTCTCGTCAAAGTCATCGAAGAGCAGTGATCTTCGCCGTTTGGAGAGCTGTGTGATATCATGGGCCCTCATTCCCCAGTGGAGTTTTCTTTTATGTGCCGACCGGCGAGTCTTGTGATATGTGCCGTCAGCGGAGTCCCGTGAATGTTTCGTCAGTCCAGTCAGTGTGATATCCGCAGCTGCCACCCGGCAGTAGTCTCCATCGCAAATGAGGTTTAGTTTATTCTAGTATGCTTGGTGCATTGCACTGTTCCTTGTGTACAGGGTGTCCGGAAAGTTCTGGCGCCTCTTTTGGACGTCGTCTAACGCGCGCTGTGATTATTGGACTTTCAACCAATCACCGCAGATATGACCCCTCGTTCACCGCTCAGCTAGCGGGGTGGCATAAATATGACCTTGAAACCGTTTTCAGTGCTAGGTATATGGGCGAAGATGCGCCTTGTCGCTGAGAGCCCGCGCGCGGGGGCCCGGTGCGGCTTGAACGAGGCGCGAGTTGCAGCGCGATGCGGCGTTTCCCGGCGAACGGTTGGGCAGGCACAGGGGGGTGTCGTGCTTGTGTTACTCCATAGGCAAAAATGTGACTAATGACGTCACAATATCGACAGCTTCTGCGCAATTGTTACGTTTAGTGGCGCGTTCCGCCGCCATTTTTAAAATTGTTTACTTTGCGCCTGCTCTCTCTTCTTGCAGCCGTTCTTCTTCTCTGGATTTTGATCGGTGTCGGCTCAACAGTTGTGGAATACCTATATTTGTTAGATCGTTATTACTTTGCTTGGTTTAAGTGAGTGTTTTAAGTGTTTGTGAGTCAGCATGCCACACTGCGCCGTTTCAAAGTATTTCAACAACTCTAGGAATAGGACTCACATTCTTTTCATTCCCCAAAATCAGTAACTTGAAATCAGAATGGATGCATCAGCATAGGTGCGCCAGAAAGGACAAAATCAATGTCAAACTCAAGACTGCCCGAGTGTGTGGGAATATATATTACTGAACGGCTCTGGGAAAGAAAAACGGAAACCGAGGTCTTTAAAAAATTGTAGGCACGAGGCGTAGCCGAGTGCCGGAGATTTTTTGAAGACCGAGGTTTCCATTTTTCTTCCCAGAGCAAGTTCAGTAAGATATTTCCCATACGTCGTTTAATATCTATTCAGAAACTCACAATTTAATTATTGAAATCACCTTTTTTAAGATTTTTATCAAAAAAATCATCAGAACTGTAGGTCATCAACCCGTGCCGGAAAACAGTGCAGGAAAGATCACGTGCAAATGTTTCCCGCACGGCTAGGATAATGCTAAAGGGATATCTCGGCGTATGGGAAACATTTTTTGGATGATGACCTGGATGATTCCTTCAAAGTTCAGCGATCTGTCATGCCATCAAATGTGAAGTTGAAGCCCAAGCTGAAGGCTGGAGCAGTACCGTCCATCAAATTGCCGTCATCAACCTTCAGGCAAGCTGCATGGAATATCATTTAATTTACAGTTTTGCATAGGTATATTTCAATGATTTTATTCTTATTTTTGTCAGTCATCTTGTCTCAGATGCTCGGCCCATGCGTGTTTCATTTGTCCAACAAAGGACAGGCGCTACCTGGAGAATAATAAATCAGAAACAAAACAAATCTTACCTAACATAACCCAACATAACCTACAAACCAACAAAAATACAACAGTTCCTTCCTTGTGGGTTCCCTCCCTCAGGCTCATTCCATCCTGAACTATCCCATATGGCTGCGCTCGGCAAGTAGTAGGGAACCCCAACAGGTGAGTTGAACAGTTACACAATCTGCAAACCAAAAACATACAACACGTCAAAAATATGGGTAATCATGGATATGATCATTTGCTGGATATGTTTGTTTGGATGTTTTCTTCTCTATATTCCACTCAAAATTTCTCATTTTTATTATCATTTACATTGGTATACAATCCTCCTTAGTTACCAGAGACTGTACGAACGTGTAGGTCACTTTTTAGAATAAACTTAGTCACTTTTTTTGAGGAGTTTGCCAGAAAGTTGCTAGCGTCGACAGATCTCGCATCTCATGAGATGCCTCAAAAAAGCTATAATACCAAAACATGTGTGTATGGCCGGCTATGAAACCTTGAACCTATAATTATCAACTCAGGGCGGTATAGCTGATAACTGATAGCTGGGGCATTCCACGATAGATCGTACCACTTTTTTCCAATTTGACACCCTCATCTCTCGGAATTTGACGAGAATTGGTCTCAGGGGTAATCAGGGGCTCTGAATCCACCTGTAACAATTTCAGGCTTATCAGATAAGTATTTTTTGAGTTATGGTGTATAACATTTTTTGGATCTTGCTTTGCAGCGCTAAGTTTGGCGGACTGTAACTCTAAGACGGATTATTCAAATGTCAAATGTTATATAACATTAAACTTGCAATGAAACAGAGATTAATATGTATTTTTGAAATTTCGAAAAATTCGCTTTTTTGATATATGACATATCGAGTTTTCTTTCATTTGTATTTTTTGGACTTTGGGACCAAATTTTTTTGAATTTTTATTTCTTTAAAAAAGTATTTGGCTCATTGTTAACAAATATGCAAAAAATTAGGAAGGTGTTCTTTCTATAAATGTATTTATTTTACGTCACGATAACGGTTTCGAATAGTGATTTCGGGAGGGGAGCTTACAAATGGCGTGATAAAGCTGCCTAGTGACATCACGGGTTACTGAAATTTCAATTGAAGTCTGAGTAATCTGAAAAAAAGTGAAAAGAGGGTTCATCCAACCCTCTTTCCTATAAGCGCGAGGGTGAAAAAGGCTGTTTGGTTCTGACATTGTTTTGGACGCCAACGACCATATCTGTCCGAGATGAAAGTTACAGGACGCATACATGGTGTCCTCCAGAGGTCTCACAACTTGTATATCTGGGAATTTTTAAGGTTACGTGAGGTCAAGTCGGTCACGTGACAACACTGTTATAAGTCAATGGGGAAATATAAAAACTGTTATTTTGGCGCCCAGAATGATCTAAAACTATACCACGTACATGGTATCGTGATTTCATGCACTTCTTGCAAAGTCCAATGCTTTTCTTTTGCATAGGTAACCTTGCGTGACGTCATTTATGACGTCACTTGGGTCGTACGAGTTTTTCGTCAATAACTCCCGATCAAATGGAGCTAGAGAGTCGGGAAAGCCACCAATGGACTCGGGAAGACCTTCCGAATCGAATGATATGCCATATGATACCCTTTGCCCAGCTTCGTGACCTGAGGGCTTTGACCTGACCTTGATCCGAGGTCAACTACTTAAGTTGACCTCACCCTAGCAAAAAGTATACCATTCGATGCACCTGAGCTAGGCGAACACAATGATGCCAAAATCGCGGCTCTGCGGCCATTTTTTGCGAAGTTATTTACTAAAAACCGAACCCGTAACTTCAGTCACTTGACCTGACCTCAGACGCTACCGGTTAAATTGAGACCTTAAAATCGGGTACCAATCGCTGCGACTTGTTGCGGCACACACGCTCGTTTTTTTTCCGCGAGGCTCTAGCTCTATTAGAAGCGAAACGGCGTGCTGGGGTCGTATCAACCCCTCCGAAACCCATTTTGTGTGCGGGAAAATGAGGATTTTATAGAAGGAACACCTTTCTAATTTTTTGCATGTCGATTTGCAATGACATGAAGTTTATTTTGAAAAAATAAAAAATAGAAAAATTTTGGTCCCAAAGGTCATTAGAGGCAAATGAAAAAAGATTAAGGTTTTTGCTCAACAATGAAAATTTTTCTTTGGAATTTTCAAATGGTAATATTAATTTTTGATTCATCGCAAGCTTAGTGCTTTTTACTGTTTGTTGGTAGCTTAACCCGTTCTTGAGTTATAGGCCATCAAACTCACCATTACAAACCGAAGTTAAAAAAATGTAATGCAATATAACTCAAAAAGTTTTGATCTGAGAAGTCTGATATTTTGCCAGGCGTCTTTGGGGCCTATGATTACCCCTGGGACGGATTTTCATTAAAATCTGAGAGATGAGGGTGACGGGCCTGGTACGATCTATCGTGGAATGCCCCAGCTGATAGTTGATAGCTGAGCCAGCTAATAAGAAGGGTGTGTAAGCGATGCATCAATGACGCAATGAGGTATTCTCCAGAGTCCAGGTGGTACTTATCCTTTGTTGGAAAACAAAATAGGCGAGTCTTAACAACTTTTCACAAATAACTGGCAGTAGGTACCTGAAATGTCCGCTATGCGATTAGGATATTTCACGTTTTATTATTGTTCATAGTTCCCAAATTTGTCACTTAATTGTTTATAGCAGGTACTGAGTAGGTAATTAGTATTATCTTTGACTTTTTAATGCAAATTTTCAGGCTGCATCAGCATCATTACGCTTTGCACTGATATTTTTATGTATGAATTGATAAGTACTTTTTTAAATGTTATGCTTTTGAAATGACCTCACCACAACATTTGTTGCCCAATTTTCCTTACGAATTCAGTTTTTGCTAAGATCTGTCTTATGACACTTATGACCTAAATGTAACTTAAGACATCTTGCGATCATACAGAACTCAGTTAACATATCTATTTCTCTGCTAGATCTGCTGACAGAATGAAGTGTTTTTTACATTGCTATTTGTTTTGCTTCATTAAATCATTATTTCCTTGCAGGAGACAAGAGGTGACATCTGCACAGCGAGATGGGCGTTTGCAGCAGCGGTCCCTCAAGAGGCTGAGTGACGAGCTGACCACTGCAGGGTCTGGTCAAGAGCTGTCGAGGTATGCTATTTGTTTTGACATGATGTGAGATTGGGTTGTAGCACAAACTTGTCAGCTTGACTAAACTGACAATACAGTTTTATGATTTTCACAGTCAAAAGCTTTAGGCAATGTTTTGTAAATTCCTATGGTGCTCAAGGAATTCAAAAATTACCTACCTAGAGCCCGTCATTGGAAACATATCTGGCAGAGGTAAATCTTGTGAATTGCTTTTAAAAGTAAGTTTTCAAAAATAAGGGTTGTTTTCTTTTCCTGGAATATACATAAGTGCGCCTATTTGTTGTATCATTGGTGTATCATTTTGTTGTAAGTATCATTGTTGTATCATATAGCTTCTTACCACTATATTCCCTCAAGATATGCCTGTTTGACCTTTTGAACATTGAATAGGTATCGATGATAGGTAGCTATGCGTTCAGTGTCCAATTCTCGGGTGTCCAGCCAGTGGTACCTCTCAAATATTTTGGGTGTCCAATTCTGGTATACTGAGCTGGTGCTAATGCTAAACAGAGCTTGTTGCGTACACCCCGACCCCTACCATCCAATCGCGCAATGCCGGGTAACGGGAGAATTTATAAATTTAAATATTACATAGCAGTTTTGACATTGACTGTTTTCTGTCGCCTCCAGGGACAGCGACGGCGGCAGTCCGACCGGCGATCCTGGACCTGCTCCGGAACGGCCTGGATCAGATCCTGGACCTGATTGTCCAGTGATCGTCTTCGAGGAAACCACTCCTCTTGAGCAAGTAGTGCACCTGGAAGGGGAGGTGAATGACATGCAACAGCGCCTATGGAAGCTCAGCAGGAAGTGTCGGAACGAGAAGAGGTCGCGCCTTCAGCGCCGCCTGCGTATCGCCACCGAAAAAGGATGACAGCTGGACCGTCTTCTAGAGTCCGGGGTTCTGTCCCGTGGTCAAGTGCGCCAGGCGGCGACAGGTCAAGTGCGCCAGGCGGCGACAGGGCGCCGGATCCGCTGGTCTCCTGGAAACGTGTCCAAGGCGCTCGGCCTGCGGTGCCTCACGCGCAAGGGATACAAGTACGCCCAAAGTGTGCTGAAGATTCCGCTGCCCTCCGCGAGCACTCTGTCTCGCTGGACCCGCGCGTTCCGCGTCACACCCGGTGTGATGGACGCCGCTGCTTCCGTCCTTGAGGCTGTCACGACTGACATGAGCGACATGGACCGTCTGTGCGTCATCAGCTTCGATGAGATGTCGCTCGACAGCCGCTACTGTTACGACAGCACAGCCGACCAAGTATTGCGCGGTTCGAATCTGCAGCTACTGATGGTGCGGGGACTTTGCTCGCCGTGGAAACAGACCCTGTACTACCAGCTGGACTCAGCCATGACGCCAGGCGAGCTGGTGCACGTCATCGTCCGCCTCGAGAGCATCGGTCTGTCGGTGGTGGCAGCAACGGGTGACATGCACTCCTCCAACGAAAAGCTGTGGGAGCAGATGGGAGTCACGCCAACCAAAACCTGGATCAAGAGCCTACACGATGACAGCAGGTTAGTGGAATGTTGGCACACTCTTGTGTTAGATGAAATTCGCACTAAAAGTAATTCTAATATCCTCATTTCTGAGCTTTCACACAGATTTGACCCGATTCGATCGAGCGATAAGCTGCGCAGAGCAAAGACGGAACCGTCCGGCGCTGTCATAGTCAAACTGCTTGATTTTAAACCCCTGATGGTAGAAAAGTTGTAGCCTGATTTACTTATTGCTTTCACAGCAAGATGCGTATCTAAATTCGAGGCAGGTACTGAAGATGTTATGTTAACATAATGATTGCGGCGTGAGTCAGTTGCAAAAAACAGGATGCGTGGTAGTGGTGTCAATCGGAGCTTGAATCCTCGGAATTCCGATTTTGTCCAATGTCCAATTCGGAATTCGGTTGGACATTGACAGCAGGCTTTGGGCAACTTAGGACAATCGCTTGCTACACCTCAATATTTTTATCAAGTAGTCGCGTTTAACATTGATTGGCTATTAGAAAGCTCAGCTTTGGATATGATTAACACTTTTGAGCTGGTAATGGTACATTAAAAGCAAATTAAATAGCAGTGTTGAGTGTAAACTATTGCGTAGGTGTCGAACATCTTTGGACAAATGGCTGGCTTGGACATTTTTGGATGGACAATCGACGTAAGCATTGGACATTGGACAGACATTGGACACACGTTTTCTGAAATTGACACCAGTATTCGCCCCCCCCCCCCCCTCCTTGCACTGTGCGTATTTAATAATAATCATGCGAAGACAAACGACTCCCCCCGTCACCGCAGAACCAAGAAAATAAGAATAAGTGCCGCTAAAAGTTAAATAAACTTTCCTTTTTCAGATCTAATGCCCAGCGGAGCTGACGGCAGCGGTGGAGGAGGACGAGGTGGAGGAGGAGTTTCGGGCCGTCACCCTGCAGCCGAAAGTGCCGCCGGTCATCAGTATCACAGAGGAGGCTGAAGACGGCGGTGCGGCGACCAACACTGTGCAGGCGAGGGCTAGAGCTGCTGAGGACGCCTGCGACAAAAGTAACCGGGCCTGGACCTCCGGATCGCCAGGAAGCTGGTTCGTACCAGGCTGCACATCCGGCTATGATTCCTCAATCAAGCTTAGGCTGAGGCTGCCGCCGCGAGGAGAGCAGCCAAACAGGTCCGCCAGCATGCCCAGAGCTCTGTTAGTTGAGGAAGGTGCTGAAGCAGGATGTCGGGCTTGAGCGGCTGCTGCTCACATAGCTGGCTCCGCTTCTGCTCATCTGGCCACTCATCTGGTCCTCTGCCGCTCGCCAGGATGACTCATCTACTGCTCATTTACCCCTCGCCTGGCTGACTTATCTGCCGCTCACCTGGCCGGGTTGTCTGCCGCTCGCCTGGCCGCCCACCGCGCGCCTGGCTGGCCCGTCTGCCGCTCGCCTGGCTGGTCTGTCTGTCGCTGATCTGGCGGACGTCACTGTTCACGTACCGCTCACCTGGCTAGCCTGCCTGCCGCTCGCCTGTCCGTCTGCTGCTCGCCTGGTTGGCTCGTCTGCCGTTCATCGTGCAGGCTTGTCTGCCGCTCATCTGGCTGGCTTATCTACCGCTGATCTGACCGTCTTCCGCTCACCGCTTAAAGGCTACAAGTACGCCCAAGCTGATGTGCTGAAGATTCCGCTGCCTTCTGCGAGCACCTTGTCCTGCTGGACCCGCGCAGTGCGCCTAGAGACTGACACGGCGTTTGTCAGCACTGGTCAGCGGCTGGAGCGTGACAACCTCGGCAACGAAACGTTGGAGGTTCTGCAGATACAGGTGAGTCTGCTTAGCGGCCATGACAGTACGCCGTACGGTAGGTATAACTTGTAATAATAACATAACTCATCGATAAAATTCGAAAACGTAGACCCATATAAAGCTTTTCGATGAAATTGCATGCCTTTAATAAGCCTTTCGTATTCCATTATCGTACCAGTATAGCGCCTTTTGGGGCGACTAACGGAGCGAGCGAGGGGGTGAGTCTTGCACGTGCGAAATTTCGAGGGGGTACCTCAAACTGACTTGTGCACGGCACCCTACTGACCGGTTTCTAGCGATGTGCCAAATTTGAGCACAATCGGCCCAGCCGTTCTCGAGATCTGGGAGCGGCACCCTGCACGTGCGCACGTGCTAAATGGGTCCCAACTGACTTGTGCACGGCACCCTACTAACTGGTCCCTAACCGTGTACCAAATTTGAGCGCCATCGGTCCAGCCGTTCTCGAGATCTGGAAACGACCCCTGCACGTGCGCACGTGCAGCAGCACCCCAACTCTGGCACATGGATATGCAGTGCCTAGTGGGTGCCTACCTACATGCCAAGTTTCAGCGCAATCGGCCAAGTAGTTACCGAGATATTGCAACAATTACAAAAGTGACACCTCTTCGTTTTGCACGTGGCACGTGCATAAGGGGTCACCCACATGCATCGGGAATAGTCCAATACTTGGTAGAAGGAATGAAGCTCAGTGGCGCAGCCAGGATTTCGTTTCGGGGGGGTCATCGCTTCCAAAGCGGGCCCCCTAGTGTGCGGGCCCCCACCCATTTTTCAGAATCTCTCCATATTTCATACGCATTCTGCTGGGCGGGCCCCCTTTACCTGCACGATAACCCTGAGCGAGTTTGAATCAGAAAATTTGCATAGAACAGTAGCTCGGTAATCACCCGGTCTTCACTTTTTACGCAAATTGACCACGACAGAAATATGTTACTATGACGTATGACTTCGTATCTTTCGAGTCCGATATGAGCCCCAATTCCGCAATATGCATAGCATATTATATGCAATCGGAACTGTTGCCTGCTTCTGTCGCACAAGATTTAAAAGTAGTCCCATGTGCCTGTCCTAACTCATCTATTGGCTGCTGTAGTAGATTGTGCTTTTATTCTTCTTCATTACGTGAATTCGCTCGTAAGAAGTTTTAACCCTCGCCGGCACAGGGGGGAGGGGTTGATGCAACCCCCTAAGGTTTTTTTTCGCGAAGAACTCGCGTAAAAAAGCGGCTGATCGCGACGTAACTTCCATAGTGCGCTGAAATTCGCGCAACTTATAGAACAAGGATGGGTAACGTGCCTGTGAAGAGTCACAGCTCGATCGGGCCGGCGCGGTGGTGAGCACAAGGCGCGTGCTCAAAAAGTGCAAATTCGCGTCATAGACTTTACATGCATAAATCGGCTTGCAAAAATGGGCGACAATGGCTCAACTTGCCCGACACGGGTCCGGTCCCCGTGCAGTATCTCGGTGACCGTGGGTCCGATCGGCACGAGGAACACAGTATCGTGCATGAGAATCGAACGGGCTATCGAATGGTGTGCGGTGCAGGGATGGCACGCGCCACGTGCACCCGTGAGGGCACTTATGCTTGAAAAATTGACGTTTTGGACGGATTTTGGACTTAATGCTATTTTTGGGTGACTGTCAGACGGAGCGGGTTCAAACAACGCTTGTTGGCAAGAGAAATGTACCTACCGCCTCTCATGGGAAAATTGTGAAAAGCTAATTGATCAAAAACAAGGTGGAACAAATTGCTGGAGAAAATAGCATTTGCTTATGACTTACTTAATTACAGGGGTTTTGCTACATAACCTGGTATGTTTGACAATTGAAATGGGCATAGATTGGAAGAGCATTCAATTGTGACCAAGGTCCAATCATCGCTTTTGCATGACGAGCAACAATATTCTTAAGAATATAAATGTTTCAAACTCTACATAGTAATTCATCGATGGCTTTCACTCTTCAATAACCTACGCCAACCTATGTCATGAAATACACTTGGCATGTTCTATAGTAGAACGCATGGTTATTATCAGACACGAGCACCTCGATGCGATGGATATTTTTTTCCCAAAACCAAAATGCTTAGCCGTCAAAAGGCAATCGACCGTAATGGATACATAACCCACAGACACAAGACCAACCAAACGCCCACCGATCGAAAATACCCCTTATTCGCGTTGCGAAGCAAGCGGGTCACCCTAGCGGGCCCCATTCACCCGGGGGCTCGGGCCCTATCCACATGGGGGACCAAGCCCTATCCATACGGGGGCCCGGGCCACGTTCACCTGGGCTCCGGGCCTCGTCCACCCGGGGCTCCGGGGCCCGCCCACCAGGGGGCCCGGGCCCCATCCAGCCGGGGGCCCGGGCCCCGTCCACCAGGGGCCTGGGGTCCGTACTCCCGGGGGCCCGGACCCATCCATCGGGGGGCCCTGGCCCCATCTACCCGGGGGGCCGTGCCCCATCCACCTAAGGGGCCCGGGCCCGTTCTCCCGGGGCCCGGGCCCCATCCACCCGGGGGCCTGTGCCCTATCCACCCAGGGGCCCGTGCCCTATCCACCCAGGGGGCCCGGGCCCGTTCTCCCGGGGCCCGGGCCTTATCCAACCGGGGGTCCGGCCCCGTCCACCCGGGGCTCAGGGCCGTTC